CAGTCCCAGTACAGGAGAACAGTCCTGTTACAATAGGAACTACAGTCCAGTACAGGAGAACAGTCTGTTACAATAGGAGCTACAGTCCCAGTACAGGAGAACAGTCCTGTTACAATAGGAGCTACAGTCCAGTACAGGAGAACAGTCTGTTACAATAGGAGCTACAGTCCAGTACAGGAGAACAGTCCTGTTATAGGTGAGGGTTATGGTAGGAGTGTAGTGGTGGGAGTGTGGTAGTTTGTTCAGGGCAGAGTCAGTCCTGACAGTCCGGTGTGGTTGCAGGTTGCCGGTGATCGTGGACAGCATGGCCGAGAGCTCAGTGAAGGCCCAGGAGGTGTCGGAAGCCCCAGCTGCCCAGCAGAACGGGCTGCCGGCCCCCGAGAGGTTCTCCTTCAGCCCCACTCCCACCCTGGAGGACATGTGAGGCTCCCTTCCGTCTTGCTTTTACCTGCGGCAACTTTCTCACCCTGACGGGCGATACAGCGTTGATATTATCACATCTGGGTGGTGCAGCGGTGAGCACTGCTGCCTCTCAGCGCTGGTGCCCTGGGTTCAATTCCTGTGGTGCTGTCTGTGTGGAGTCTGCATGTTCTCCCCCGTTCATGTGGGTTTCTTCCAGGTGCTCCGGTTTCCTTCCACAATCCAAAGACATGCATGGTGGTTAATTGGTTTCTTGGGGGGTATTCTGTGAAGGTTGTCCCCTGCCTTCTGTCCACCTCACAACCCTGTCCTGGATAAAGCTGTTGGAAGATGGGTGGATGGATGATCATACCACCAAGCACAAAATGACTGAGACGCAGACATGCAGGTCTTGGTATCGGCGTTGTGCTGATGTTGATTTGTTAGGGCAGGGGTCACAGAATCCTTCAGGCCACGTGCCCAGTGTATGCCAGAAGTCACGTGTTCGATCACACCTGATGGCTGAAGCACCTGACTGGCAAGCCTGTTCCAGACACCCACAACTCTTTATGTAAAGAAGTGTTCCCTGTCCCCGTCTGTTCTCTCTGTCATCCTGGCAATATGCTGCCTCCTTCCCAGCCCTGGGTCATTTTCTCCATCACTCTCGCCATTCCCTGTTAATTCTGGCAGTTTTTAGTTTTTTTTAATTGTATTCTTTATGCTCCTGGAATCTAGGTCTAAGCTTTCAAGTTTTATTTTTTACATGGTGAGATCTTGTGAAATCGTGCTCCATTTACCATAGATGCTACTTGAGATATTTAGGCGATCAGACTTGATCAATCGAGCTGAGAGCTGGTGCTAAGGTGATCAGACTTGATCAATCGAGCTGAGAGCTCATCCTAATGTGATCAGACTTGATCTATCAAGCTGACAGCTGATGCTCCACTTGATCAGTGACGTGTCTTTTCCTTGTCTGCTGCTGGGCTTTTACTTTTCAAAAGCTTCACTCTTCTGACCTGCTGCTGGCTCACGTCTTGATCTTTAGTGGCACTGACACTGCTCTGGCTCTGTTGTCCTCACAGCCGGAGGCTCCAGGCCGAGTTCACAGACGAGCGGAACTGGGAGCAGTACCACCAGCCTCGGAACCTGCTGCTGGCCATGGTGGGGGAAGTTGGCGAGGTCTCGGAGTTGTTGTAAGTATCCGTCCGGAGCACAAACGCTCCCAGGGTACCTTGGTGTGAATTCTGGCCACCGCCTCATGTACTTGACTGTGCCAGAACCTGGCCAAGCGCTGTGTGTCCTTGAACCCCTGACCTTGACCACATGAGGGCAGTTTGAAAATGGTAAAGAAGGCTGACGAACTTGCAGTTTTCACTGAATTGAGGAGGAGCCATTACCTTGAATAACTGCATGCAGGTGTTTCAGGGCTTCTTTAATAACACAGAGCTATCACATCTCTGTTGCACTTGATTGCTTCAGAGTTTGAATCTCCATATGTTAATGATAAGGTATTTATAGAAATCTTTCATATATAAGCATGGTACTTTGTTTTTTGGGGGCATACAAAATGCTATAATGTCCATTTTAATTAAAGTTTGTTTGAGATTTTCTTCCCTCTCTGACTGAGGGCCTGCAGAGCTAACTAAAGGTTGCTCAAAATTAGAATGGCTTCAAATTAATCAGGAGCGTTTGGGTCTCCCATCCTCGTGTAAATATACAGAGTCTGTATTGTTTTTTTTAAGAGCGTTTCCTATGAACCCAATTCCTTGGATTAGTAAGTTGATTTCGAGAATAAATGCGAAACGTCCTCAGAGCTGTTCCCCCCAGGTTCTGTGCTCCTCCTAGACGTGCAGCCAGAGGATTGTCTGAGCTCATGTCACCAGCAGATGGTCCATAATGTGCTCCATTATGTGGGCAGAACTGCGTTTCTTGAATCATTCCCTCTTCCCAAGTCAGCCTGTATTGAGCACAGCTGGGATGGACTCTGTCAATGAACAGTGCGCTCAATTCATTGCATGTGGTGGACCAATACAACACACAGGAAGGATCGCTGGAGAGTGCAGCTCCACAGGGGGTGAATCGCAGAAGGGAGAGGTGCAGTCTGTCATGGGGAAGCGATACTTGTTGTGTCGTTAACCGCCGGCAGAGAGCACAGCTCTGATCTGCATCTCCAGAGAGCTGTGATACCAGTCGTGGAGGGTGGAGGGCCGCTGTGTTGTAATGCCACGGGGGGGCGTCGCGGCACGGGTCATGCGCATCAACCTGCCTTCTGTCCTGTCCCCCGCTCAGCCAGTGGAAAGGAGAGGTGGCGGAGGGCCTGCCCAGCTGGACGGAGCGGGAGCGAGAGCAGCTGTCCCACGAGCTCAGCGACGTGCTCATCTACCTGGTGGAGCTGGCTGAGAAGTGCCACGTGGACCTCCCGAAGGCCGTGCTGGCCAAGATGGCCATCAACCGGTCCAAGTACCCGGCCAGCAAAGTCCACGGGCTGGCCAAGAAGTACACAGAGTACCAGGACTGAGGGGGCCCGGTGTTGTAGACAGGGCTGGGGGGGGGGCGTCTGGTGTTCAGGACCTGGCTGGGGGAGGGATTTGGATGCCGTGAGTCCTGGAGCCTGGTGCTCTAGACCTGTATCCTGTAGACATGTAGACCTGTGTGTTGGGCTCTGTGGGACCTGGCATACTAGACTGGGGGGGTGTTGGACACCATGGGGCCTGGTGTTGTATACTGGGGGGGAGGGGATGATGCCATGGGGCCTGGAGTTGTATACTGGGTAAAGGGGGGGGGTGATGCCATGGGGCCTGGTGTTGTATACTGGGTAAGGGGGGTTGGTAGATACCATGCAGCCTGGCCTTCTAGACTTGTGGGGGAAGGGTGTTGGATGTGAAAAACTGAATTTCAGGCACACAGCAGCAGTTTATTTTAGCAGTTTAAAATGTGCAAGCAAACCAGGTTAACCGAAAACCACATCATAATTTAATTTCCATTTTTAAAGGTGGAAGTTGACTTGTGCCTGGCTTGTCACTTCACTTCTTTCATTATTAGTGACACAGTTCCTCAGAGTGCACACGTTTACTCTGCTGATAACGTTACCAGGGGCCCTGTAGTGCTCTGCTCGTCAAGTGCACCCCCAGCAGCCTCAGTCCCTCCAGGCTTTATTTTTTGCGATTTTCAGCGATTTTTATTTTCAGCACTGGAAGAGGAAAACTCTCTATGACTGTGTGGTGGCGTCTATGTTGGTCTGCGTTTCGAGTGTCTAGTTTTAACCTGAGTTGTTTTAGTCAAAGCTTTCTGGTGCCAGGAAAGTGCGAATGCTGTTTACTTTCACGCACCGTTTGAGAATCGTCCAGCCAGATCTGCTGGGCTTACTGGCCGCCTCATTTTAAAACCGCTCCGTGTGGATCTCTTGGTTAGTCCCAAGCGACAGGCGTAGCTGGGTTCTTAGCTGTGAGTCTCTCAGGGTTCAGGTATTGGTGGGCTTTCAGTCCCAGCAGTTTTCATATCGCAGAAATCGGGATGAGTTGTGACTTTGTGGAAGATGAAAGGCTTGACCATTCTAAGGTGTCGGAAAAGGGCCTGAGAGTAACTCTCCCGCTGGGTAGGCAGGCGAGTCAGAAGCCTAAGTCTGCATGGGCAGAATACGTGGAGCTGTGGTTGGGGCACTGGGTTCGTTACTGGGAGGTTGCAGGTTCAAATCCCAGAGGGGGCACAGCTCTCGTACCTTGAGAGCAAGGAACAAAATGCCCATGTGTGTAAAGTGGGAGGTTAGGGATGTAGCCTCGGATACAAATAAGTTTACAACGGTTAATTCAATGTTGGCTCCTAGGGTGACAGTTAATTACATTCATCTTTGTACAGATCACCAATGTTTGGTGTTTCAGTGCAATTCCACAGTAAGTTCTTAAACAACTGTATTTCCTGTACAATTTCTTCTACAATGCAGTCTGGTTCATCTTGGCTCAATTGGGTGTATTTTTGTGAAGCCCCAAGACGCTCTGAAACACAGGAGGTCATAATTCAGCGCCAGTTCTCTCATCTTGTTAACTAAGACCTCTTCTCGTGTACAGGAGAAACTGGAAAATAAAGACCATCTTTTAACGGGGAGATGTCGTTTCTGTGAGTGACTGTTGGCAAAAATATTCCAGGGTGTTTAATGACAGCAATTTGGCGAATAATTAGTCACCCTCTGTCTAATGACCTGAGACCTGAGAAATTATCTTGTGGGTGTTTCAGGTGACCAATAAAAAGAAAAAGTGAACTGAATATGAACTTTCTTTAATAAAGCTATAGAGGTAAAACAAATATCGTAAAAGTCGGAAGCTTTTGAACAGTGTTAAAAGCTTTTCCCCTTGTAGTACCTTCTAAATGCTTGAAAGCAGCAACAGGGGTCCCAGGTTCTGTTAAAGCTTATTTATAGTTATTAAAGCAATACAGTAGCTGTCCTAGACAGTGTCTCCAAAGTAGATAGTTCTGTACAGGAATCGCCGGAAAGCCTTGGGCCGTGGCTGTTGCTCTGGAGGGCGAAGAAGAGTTAGGAACTGGTGTTCCTGTCCGCTCGAGTCGGCAGGTTGGAGGTTCGAGGTTAGAGGGTGTCGGACTGCTCCCCCTGGCTCTGCTGCATCTGCTGCTGCATCTTCTGGAGCATCTCCTGCATCCGGCGCAGCTGGGGGAGAGAAGCACCTGGCGTCACCGAGAGCACTGACAC